TTTCTTTAGAAAAGTAATTAACTTGTGGACAATGTTGGGAGGGTGGTGGCTCCTCCTCAATTTTAAAATTTTAGACTCCTATGCTATACATATTTATTAATTTTGTACTATTTTATTCTTATAATATTAATTAAATAGAATATGTTAATAATAATAATAAGAATTTTTTATTTATATTATATTAGATATTAATAAAATATTATTGATATTATTTTGGTATTACAAAATTATTGTATTAAATAAATTCCTCAAATGATGTCAAAGACTCAAAATGGTCAATTTTTTAAGTTATACATTAAAATACAATTTATTTTTAGATATTTTAATATTTGAAGGAATCAATATCTTGAATATTTTGAACTAAATTTATGTATAGTATAAACCTTTGAATGGCTTAAAATGTTAAAGTATTAAAATATAATTTATAAATTTATTTAGTTGTGCATTTTTTTCTTTTCATATTATGATAATCACTAAGAATCTATAATGTGTTAATAAAAATAAATTATTTTCATCTACCTTCATAAATGTATTAATTCATAATATGTGCTCTAAGTTGATACTGATATTTAATAAAAAAAATATTGAATTAATATTTTCTTAAAATAACTTTAGTCTCAGATAAAAACAATTTAAAGAACTTAAAGATAAATATTTTTTATTATATTCTATTTTACTCATAAATTTTTAAATATTAATTAAATAAAATATTTATTTATAATAAGTTTCTTTTTATTCACTATTTCCTGTTATCATATTAAAATAAATATTTTTCTTGTTAAGATGAAGTATTTTAACTTAAAAAAATTTCATTTTATAATAAAAAATATAAATTAAATTAAATGCTTTACTTTAATATAATTTTTATTAGGACTTCTAAGGAAAAACTTATATCAATCTAAAAAAATTCAATAAGCATTAAATTATATATTTTTTGTTTATTAAAAATTATTGTATTTTTTAAGTAGCTATAAAAAATATAAATAAGTTTAAGATATTGAAATATAAATCAAAATACATCAAGATATAATAAATGACAAAATATATGAGGTAATAATTTAAAAAAAAAAAAAAAAACTTATGTGAGATTTTTAGTGAAAGAGTTTTAGTGTGTTGTACACGCACGTGTACGTGTTAGGAGTTAATCTGTTAATTTTACCTATAGCTATGCATCATCAATTAAACACCTGAAAAAAGTTATTTGTTAAGTTAAAAATTCATATACTTATTGGGGAGGGGAACAGTAGAGTGTTAATTTGGTAATTTAGTTTTTTTTTTTTTTCAAATTCTAAATTTGAATCCTACTAAGGGTGTAGGTTAGTAGCATTAATTAGTTAAACTTAATCAACAATCTTCAGTTAATACGGAGTTTTATCATTCATAATAATAAATTATTATTTTTTGTTTTGAAAATTATTTTTATGGGTATAATTTTTCTCATTTTCAATTAAAATTAATAGAAGTCAAAAACAAATATTTCCGATATAAATTCAGAACATGTTTTTTTTATGTTTTTAAAAATAGTATTTTTTAAGTTAAAAAAATAAAATTTGTTTATTAACATAAGTTTTATTTTCATTTTTTAAAATTATTTTAAAAACAAACTTCACCAAATCAGTTTCAAGTGCAGTCAACGGTTATTTACTATCTAATTTCTCTCATAATTATGAGAATAAGATTTTCTCATATCTTATCCCGATTTCGCTTTCGATCACACAGTTTAAAGTCATTTTATTAAGATTCTAACAAATTTATTTTTGAACTAGATTTAAAATAAAACAGTCAACGGTAAAAAATATAATTTTTTTAAATTACTTTTAATAAAAATGATTCTGAACTTATTTTGCATCATGCACTGTCTTATTTTTCAAGATGTTCTACTTAATTATAAAGATAAAGTAGATGAAAAGGTAAAAACGTTTTTGTTTTCTTTGGGTTCTCCAAAAGTTAATTGAATTGGAATCGTTCACAGACATCCTTTTAGCGTAACTCTCTGTGAGTCGTTCCTAAACTGATGCGGGAATATGTATTGGCATTGCATAGACTAAAGAGAATATTTGTAACATAATTTTGACTAAGTCTACCCATAAAGTTCATGGCTGACATGGATGGCATGAAAAGAATAATTAATAATCTTCTCTTATTTGATTTAATACAGTGATAATCAATTAATATATCTATGTACTGCATAAGGGAGTTCCTTCAAGCATTTATTACATTAATTTTACATGATATTTTATGGTACACAGTCATAATAAAATAGTTTGTATTTCCAATCAAAGTTACACAACCATCATACAAATATTAATTTAAAAAAATATGAAAATATTTTCAATCATTTTATTCATTTTTTCTTACCACATTGAATTTATCAATTACTTAATAGAATTTTAACTAAATAAAAAAAATACAAACACATGAACAAAACAAAGACAAGATAATCAACGAAAACCAAGTCTAACGGAAGAAATTAATTTCTCATAAAATGACAAATAATGAGTCTATGACTGAAATTTCCTTTGAGAGGTACCTATAACTTAGTATCAGATCATACTTAGAGAAGGATTTTCTCTTGTAAAAGAAATATGTTTAAAACCATAAAAAAGAAAAGCACAAGGCTATAAGTACTTTATATCTAGACGAGGATTTAAGAGTGAAGAATATTATTAGTACCATATCAATGAGAATTTCCACGGGACCTCAAAACCAAAAAGTAAATGATATTATTATTAATTCGTGATAATTGAGAGTTATGCGGTACTGATACCATCAAGTTGAGACTTATGAGCTTTGGCTCTTTCATACGTGCCAAAAAAGCACTTGCAGATGTGTTGATTGATTAGAGAAATTGATTTCTAAAAATATTCTTAGAATTTTAGGCAAGAAATCTCCATTCCTCGTTCGTGGATGCAAAAGTACTTGATCATCCAAAAGAAAGATAAAGGACAAAAAAGAGAGAGCAAATTGTGAGTAAAGTAAAATAGCAACCATGTTATTGTCATTAAGCCACTGTTATTGTGCATGATCAAATTCAAAAGATGAATTACCTAGTTCGCATATAGTGTTGAGTAATCGAAAAAAGTTTATCAATTTAGAGCACAAATTTGATTTCATCATTAATTTCAGATTTTCACGTTGTGCTTGTTCTATTCATTAAATTGATGCTCCACTCTTTCCCTTTTAAAGAAAGAGTACCGTATTTCTTTTGCCTTTACAGCATATGTATATTTCTCAATGTGAAATTAATAGGAATATCTTAGCGTGACACAATTTTTCATGTTTCTTAATGGTGATTCTAGTTTACTTTGACCACAAATCTTTAAATATCTATTACTTTTCTTTACTTTAATTTGCATAAAATTTTCCGTTCAGATCAGAACACAATTCTTGAATCTGTAGTTACGAAATTAACTTGGGCTTTTGTATTTGAGAAGAACAGGTTGAGTATAAAATTTTACTATTCCTTTTCCAAAATCAACCAAATAGTTGCTCAACTTATGACCAATTGTGAGACTATATATATTATGATGTTGTACTTTTATGCTACAATTATACACATTCGTGTAGACATGTGATGGTATCCAAGAAAAGGATCAAGAATAAGTTGTACCTAATGTTAGGAGTGTAATGAGAGTAACCAAAATTCTTCAAAAGAAAATGAAATTCAATTTTTTATTCGACGGCATATAAAGAAACAGTATGAGAAATGTGTATAAACTTGAACTATTATTGTATCACAACTCAAAGAAGTGTAATGATAGAGCTGGTTGGTAGCAAGTGTACTACTTTGTAAAGGCAATTACTTAGCAGTTCCATCTAAGCACCAAATTTCTCACTTTATAATTTCTTTTCTAATTTGGTTTAGTTGTTAACCAGTCAGATTTATTTCAAGTGAAATCTCAGCATTCTAGCCACCAAAGTCTAAATCATAATAGTGCCATCTAAGATCTACTAATTGACCAAACCCCCATAAAATACAATCAAATAAAAAAGAAAGAACAAATGCATGAAATGGATCATATGTCATTTATTACAAATTTAATGAGGGTGACTGAAAGATTTCCCAAAAGAACCAAAAGGCCTGCCTCAGCTACACACCTTGAGTCACGCCCAACTAAGCCAAATTAATCTGTCATCTAAGAGTAAAATAAGGGATCTGCTTACCTTTTTATCTTTACTCAAATCAACTTTTCAGATTTCCCAAAAATGGAAAACAAAATTTAATGAAAATCAGATTCAATCACCAGGCTATTGTAGTAGCTATTAAATTTTTCTGATTCACCCCCTTGTAATCTCTACTAGTTATGAAGATATATGTGAAAAGCTGGAAACAGCAACAAGGGGAAAAAATGATGAGAGGCAGATAACTTTTCTTTTTACTAAAAGTAAAAAAAATAAATTGAAGTCTTGTTAAGGACAATGGTTAAAGAATTAATAAATAATATTTTTAATTTTTTAAGAGAAAAAACATGAAACCTCTTAATTATCTTGGTGGTAAAAATTAAAAAGAAAAAGAACTGAAAGAAACATGAAGAAAACATATTCCTTTTGATGAACTGTACAATGCCGGTGGTCAGAAGTGGACGTTGCTTTTCTATGAATAAAATATGCAGGTTGATCAACTCCTTGTGAGAATGACTTTAATATTTAATATTCACAAGCAATGAATGGTAGAACAGTTACATGTTATTTGCTTGGAAGCTGAAACAGAGCCCACTAAAACACGCATGCTTTCAATCCTTCTGCATAACTCCACAGCACAGAAAAAGAAAAAGAACCACCCAATAAAGCCCAGAAAATTCTAAGTATACTATTAAAAGAAACAGAACTACAAAAAGTTCACGTCCTCCATTGATGGATGCTCTAAGCCTCTAACTCCAAGCATACATACTCATATCTTACAGAAGTTAGAATTTGAGAACAATTATCAAATTATTATATAAATAACAACTATAGAGTAAAACCATATAAGATTATAAGTTATAACCCAATTGGCTGAACAAATCTAAAATTGAAATTAATTAACTGAACCAAAATTTTGTACCTTGGGATCATGGCCTAACTAGTCCACGAAAGAAAAAAGTTTTAAACTACTTGTTTGGAAAGTAATCAAAGCCACGTTTTAACGTGAAAGCTGTTTGTTCAAGTAGATTTGACGTGAATCCAAACACACCCTCCGATGCCTAATGCAATTTGACAAACTCTGCATCTGAAACGGCGGAGACATCGAACTGGCTAACATCATCATCATCATCAGCAGGAGCAGGGAGATTTAGATCTATCAAACTGTCTCCGAACTTCGTGGAAGTTCTAACTGAATTAGTTGTGGTTGCGATTGGCGTTGCAGTTACGGTTGCAGAACCAATAACATGGGTTCTCTTATGTCCACCGAGAGCTTGACCCGATCCAAACACTCTCAAACAAACCGGACATTCATGGATTTTCTTCTCCACAACTACAGCAGCAAAATCTTCACCGTTTTTTCCATCCTTCATTTCAACTTCAGCTTCGACCACTTTGATCTTCTTGTGACTCGCTCTGTGTCCACCTAACGCTTGATAAGATCGAAAAACCTTGTCACATGTTTCACATTTGTACCTTCCTCGTACTTTGTTAGGTTTCTTCCAAGACTTCAGCTCCTCGGATTCATCGCTATCTTCTTCTTTCTCCTCTTGTTCTTCTTCTTCCTCCTCCTCTTCCTCCTGCTCCTCATAATGATTATTTTCACTCCACTTATCACGAGACAACATCATGAGACAGAATGCGACATCTTCCTCCGTGGTTGTGTCGGAAACAGAACTCGCCGACTCGTTCTGTTTGGCGATGTTCATTGTTTTTGTTGTGTCGCCGAGTTTCCGCGGCCTCTGGGATCGTTTCCGAGTTGGTTTCTTGGATGACTCGGTCTCGCTTTCTCTGTCTTGGAGGATCACAGAGGCAGAGGCTGCGTCTGCAGGAAACGAAAACTCGGGATCTGCGATACGAAAGCTTCGTTTAGGGTTCTCTCTCAGACCATAAGAGAGGCTTTTGTCTTGTTCGAAGGAAGATGAAGATGGAGATGACTCGGTCTCGAAACTGAGTTGAACCGTTGCGAACTCGTTTGGTTTTGGAGGAATGGGTAGGTTCATCATGTGAGACCTCATGTGACCCCCCAAAGCTCTTCCATTGGAGAAGTTTCTAAAGCAAAGCTTGCACTTGTGCTTCTCCATCGTTAAAAACAGAGCACGCAAAGCAAAGCACACCTCTGTTGTTTTGTTTAGTGTTTGTGATGTGTGGAACTATAAAATGAGTAGGTGCAAAGCATTCCTACATTTAAATGTAGGATATATACAAAGAAATAGATGTAGTTTTCTTTTAAATGAGGAAAAAAATTTAAAATTGGATTTTATTTTTTATTTTTATCTCTCTTTCTTTGAAAGTAATTTTATTCTGTTACCCTTTTAAACAAATTCAAGATTTTTCAAAAATGAAAATAAAAATTGAACTTGTAACCTGTAAGACTAGCTTGCTTTCTCCATTTATTTTTGTTTAATTTCAATTACCCGATTTTTCTTGACTATTCTACTATTTCCTTAAATACCCTTGGTTCTATTTGGAGATGCGGATTGAGATGCTGTTTTATCAAAAAATGAAAATGTCACCAGTCAGATTCTTATAGATATAGCATGTTTTTATTATTACATGAGTATTATTAAAATGAAATATTTTTAACTAATAATTTAAATTTTATTAGACAATTATTCTTGAATTTATAATTTAATAATAAATTATGAATTAAAAAATTAATATAAAATAAAACGTATAGCATAAAGGAAAATTTTAATTCTTAGAAATAGTTTGACTTATGATATTCTTATTTAATATTTCAGACTTATATTTTATATATATTAAATTTTAATTTTTTTTCTCATATTTGTTGAAAATTCCTTGATTAAGTTAGGGGGAAAATAGGAAAGGGCATTTATAGAAATTCACAGTGGTTTTGCAGCATAAACCGGTTGCTTGCTTCTCCAAGTCAAGGAAAGAAAACTGCTGAAATTTGTTGTAACGAAGAAGCTATTTGTATTTTTGTTTTATAAATGGTGGCAGAACTGATGGTTAACATCACCTGTCTGTGATCTAGAATCCAAGTGACACCCTATAAGCATCAAATTGATGCGTTACACGTAACGCATTTTACCTACCTGTCTTTTCTGAAGGCAACCACTGGTTAATGGTAATGCCACGGTGATTTTGAAAAAACGATTAATTATGTCTTACAATAAAAATTTTCTGTTTCAACTCTGTAGTCTGTTTCTTTTGTATCGGAGCCCATGGCAACTTTACTCGTTTCTACTTCAATGTATTAATTAGCAAAAAAAACGTGGAAATAATAAAATTAATCAAAGAGAGATTTATTATTATTTGATAACGCTGAGGCCTTATAGCTAACTGATCGGATAATATTGTAATCTTAAAGTAACATTTATCGCACAACATGCTAAATTAAATTTTGAATCAGGGAATAATTATTGGGTAATTCTTTTATTTAGGAAAATTCTATTTTAGACGATAATGAATTTACCTTTATTTTTGGATCATGGTTGAACGTGTGATGAAAATGAATAGGAAAGTGGTAGCTTTGAGAATGGAGTGTTGTATGGGATTGGAGAGTAAATGCCGTTTTGTTAGGGTTGGGTAGACTCAGTCCTTTTGTGCTACTCCTAAGTTCTTCCCCACACACAAATTCATATCACACACACACAAACCTTTGCTTTGTTTTCTTTTTCCTTCATCCAATTGCAACTTGTTTTACAATTAAAATGCATTTTAGTCACGAGTGCGAGTGCCGTGTGTACCGCGTCCAACATCTTCCCTTTCTCCTTCTCCAGTAGAAAAATACTTAATACTTACCAATTTTGTTAAAATTTATGTCTAAATGATTGATATTGATGCGTACACAAGAAGCTTTTATTATTTCTTAAGATCTGAGCATCACTACTACTCTCGTTCAACACTTATTGAATATTTTAAATACCTAATTTTATCTAAGTCTCATTTAAATAAAATTTTTAAATTAAAAAAAATCAAAAATAAAAATTAGAAAATATAAAAAGTTAGGATTTATAAATTTAAAATTTTAAAAAATTAGATTTTGTAGAATTTAAAATTTTAGATTCTATAAAATGTCAGAATTTAAAAATGAGTAGATATTTTTAGTTGTCAAATAAGTAAATTGGTGAAAAAAATTGATAAGAAATAGTAAATTTTAAGAGAGTGAATTAATGATACTATAAAAATAAAGAAGTTGAGTCCTTCTATTCTTTGGAATAAAAAAATTAATAAAATAAGATTTAGGATTTCAAAAAGTGATGATAGATAAAAAGCTTACTTCAGACACTTTGTTGGGAGCATGATCATAAAAAAAGTATGAATTAGGAATCCAAATGAATTCGAAGAATATGAAAAACAGTGAACCCTATGGAAGAAAGGAATCCAAAAAATGTTATTGATTAGAGAATTGAGAAGAGAATACAAGAATTTAGTTACAATCGATGTAGATCAAGTTCTGAATCTATTTATAGACTAACTAACTAGGCAATTACAACTAATTTCCAAAATTAAAAACTTAACTCCCAACTAACTTTTCATACAGGCAACTAATTTTTAAATGAAAAAATGCACAAACTAAAAAGATTCGTATTAATTCTTCCTCCATCAAAAGATCTTTGTCCTCAAGGATGTTCACCATTAAAAACCCCCTTCTCCCAAACCAAACTTGTCCTCAAGGCTTGAAATAAGGATATCTCTGCATCAAATCATAATAACATTCCCAACTTACATCTTCTACTAGCTGATGCTTCTATTTTACCAGGACCTTTGTTGTTGCTTGCCCTCTCCTTTCTACTGTCATCCTATTTGATATCATCTCGGACTTTTTAACTAAAATTGGATCTTCATCACTAGCTGAAGTGTACTTAAGTTGAGACCTTCTCCAAAATGTCTTTTCAATTATGAAATATAAAAAAAAATTATGAATCCTTAACTGAGGAGGTAACTGGATCTTGTAGGCAACTTCTCTAATCTTCCCCAACATAGGAAATGGACCAAAAAATTTAAGAGCCAGTTTAGCATTACTCCTATTAGCAACTAAAACCTATTTGTAAGGATGCAGTTTCACATAAACCAAGTCTCTAACTACTAACTGCTTGTTAGATTTGTGTTTATCTGCTTGTTGCTTCATTCTGTCTTGAGCCATTCTTAGATGAAATTTAAGCAACTTCAATATTTCTTCTCTTTTATTCAAGCTTCAATCCACCAATTCAACTATAAAAGCACTAGGAAGGTAGGGAAGATGAGCAGGTGGAGGTTGACCATAAACAACTTCATAATGTGTGACTTGAATAGAGAACTGTGAAAGGAGGTGTTATACCACATTCTGCTAAAGGTAGCCACTTAGACCATTGTTGAAGGCTATCAAAACGCATGCATCTCAAATATGTTTCTAAACATTTATTAACTATTTTAGTTTGGCCATCGATTTGGGAATAGTAAGTTAAAGATAGGTTGATCTGTATACCTTAAAAAGCCATCATTTCTTACCATAATTGACTTATAAATATTGTGTCCCTATCACTTGTGATAAAAAAAAAGTGTGCAGCCTTACTTAATCTATGAACCACAACAAATATAACCTGTTTGCCAAAAAACATAGGAAGTCCTTCAATGAAATCCATGGTTATGTGTTGCCAAACCATGCCGGGTATTGGAAGAAGTTGTAAGAGATCAGGGGATGCTATGGTTTCATTCTTGTACTACTAACAAGTGCTACATTTTTCCACAAATTATTTTATTACTTTTGACATGCTCTTCTAGTAGACAACTATTTTCATTCTTTTAAAGGTGACATGTTGGCAAAAATGACCAACTGCTGCAGTGCTATGGAGCCAAGTCATGATGTCCCTTTTAAGGCTGCATCCTTCCTAATGACTAGTCCACCTTTTCTTTTTAACTTAGATCTTTGCCATATGTAGTGCTTATGAGAGTTAGGGTCCTTCTCTTGCTCTTGAATGAGGTTTTGCATGGCTGGATCAGTCAACCAAACCTACTTGATTCTGTTTAATAGGTCTGACTTGAATGTATGCATTGTGAGGGCCTGCAGTTCAGCATTATCAACTCTAGATAAGGCATCTATTACCCTATTTTCTTTGTCTTGCTTGTATTTAATGAAAAAATCAAATTCCATTAGCTTCACCAACCATTTTTGTTGGAAAGTAGTGGTCAACCTTTGGTCCAAGATGAATTTCAAGCTGCAATGAGCAATCCTAATTATGAAATGTCTATTCAGAAGGTAATGCCTCTACTTCTGAACTAAAAAAACCACTGCAATTAGCTCTTTTTCATATGTTGACAGGGCTTGTTATTATTAGTTTAGCCTTCTACTAATGTAAGCAACAGGGTGGGTGTCTTGCATTAATACACCAATACCAAGGCTAGAAGCATCTACTTCAATTATGAATGTCTTATCAAAATTGGGCAAGGCTAGGATAGGAGCTTGAACAACATTTCAACCAAGGGTAGCTCCTTACTCTCAGGTGAGGGGAAGGAGCAAATACTGACCATTTTTTTGGAGCTCTTTAAAGTGGAAAAAGCCCCGCAGGGAAAGTGTTGTTAATGAGCTACTAACTCCAATTTCAGTTGTTGAAAGGCAGTTTTGGCTTCATTAGTCCACATAAAATTGTCTTTCTTAAGCATGTCTGTGAGTGGCCTAGCAATACTTGATAATTGTATAAAATAAGTGATTTGAGATGATGACTTGAGCACTTTTAATATTAAAAGTTAGATTATTTTGTTAAATTCCCCTTAAACTTGAAACTTTTACAATTACTTGTATATTTTAGGAAAAGAGTGCAATTGTAACGTTTTGATTCCTTTTTGATCTATTTTGTAGTTGAAATCAAATGTGAAACATTATTTTAAGTTGAAAAAAATTAGAAAAAGTCGGAACAAAAGCATATAAAGCATGAAGTTGCAAAAGAGTTAGCTTTTGGAGGTATCTCGCTATAGTGAGAGTTCCTTAAGTTGCTATAGCGAAAACTATTGTTGCAGCGAAAGACAAACAAATTGACCTAATTTTTATCTTCCTGTCTCGCTACAGCGACACCTCGTATAAAAGGCGACTTTTATGTTTTTGAAGAATGTACTGTTTCATTATATAATTTTAGAGAGAGAGAGAGGCGCAGGGCAGAAGAGAAGAGTAGGAATACTTAAGTTTTGATGTTCTACTCCGTTTATATCTCATTTCTTGTT